TTAATAATAATTTAAAAAGTAGCTATAATAAGTTTAAAATAGTGATAAATCAGATACATAATTTTTCTTCAGTAAGAACTTTTCCCTATAAAAACTTTCAACACAAGAATTTTCAGTATACGATAATATGATATAAGAACTTTCAGTAACAATTTTTGTATAAGAACTTTTGAGTAAGAACTTTCAGTTTGTTTTTCCTAATCCATAACCATTACTCTTATAAGCAGGTTTCCAAATTTAAAATATTTTATGTATCCGAAGTTTCGTGAATATTTTTTTTTTTGTTTTTTTTTGTAATGGGATGGCATCAGACATGCAAGTCTATTTACCACAGAAAGTTTTAACTTAATAATTTTTGTATATATTATGTTAAATATCTATTTTAGTATTTTGAGTAAATTTAATAATAGCGTCAAAAATTATCTTATCTGATTGAACTAAAAGTGAAGAAATATTGAGTGGAAGTGGGAGTGAAAGTTTATTTAAATCTTGATACAATACGGTGGTATGTTGAGCATTTTTATTACAATCTAAAAATAAATGATTGATATCTGCTACAGCGTTTATATTGCAATATGGACAAAAGGGAGAATCCAATATTCCAATTTTACATAAATGTGCAGGGAATCGGCCGTGATTTTTCGTGAATATTATAATATCTTATTTAAATAATATTGAATAATTTTCAAGGTATTCGCAGCAAAAAGGTAGATACATTTTTTCTCTTTTTTTTTTACACCTATAACTGAAAATTTGATACGCTGTAGATAAGTAATAAATGGCAATTCTCTCCATATAAACTATTAGGTATGCACTGAGAGTTGAAGTTTTTCTTTTTAGACTCTTCAAGAAAAGCGTAACGCCTTCGTTAATACCGTCGTAAATACGAACTAGTATTCGATGTGATAGGTGGAGGACTCTCTGTGATCTTAATACGCCAATAAAGTGACCAGTAATTAGTTACTTGCGAATTTACAGTGGTAGGAAAAGGGGATTTATATTAGTAATATTCTATCAACAGACGTGTTTATTGATATTCATAAATATTTAAACATGTAAAACAGCAGTAAAAAAGTATAGTGAAAGTGGAAAGAAGTGCAGTAAAAGTCATTATCAAGAGGCGCAGATATTTTAGGAAATAACTACACAGGATGTTAGATTATGACCGACAGAAAACTCTCAGTAATTGATTAATTTTGATATAGTAACATGAACCCTTAAAGGGCTTGGTCACCGAGATACAGATTTAATTTAAAATTCAAAATGTTCTATAAATCAAAAACGAATTTAAATATTTTTTCAAATTTCAAATATGTAAACAAAAGTTTGTGTACCATCGAATCATATTAGATTTTTTTGACAAGAAGTTGGAATGTCTAATGCAGTAGATAAACAGCATCGAACACTTATTGATAATTTTATGCTACCTAGCAGGCATTACTCAGTAGTTTAATAATGAAGACATTTGCGCCGCCAATGTCGTAGACCAACCATCTTATTTAGAACTTTTCTACATTCTTATTGTTATTGCTGATTAAAACGGCAAACGAGTAATAAAACAGCTATAAAAGAAGACCTTCATCGTAAGTACTTCTGAACTTAGCAAGCCAGTATAATCTCCGGTTTTTTAATTACCTAGTTCTTGATTTTTATGTCGGTATCTCACTTGGAAAAAAACGCACAGAGATTTTTTTTTACTAATTTTAATTTTATTCCCGGACATTTTGCTCATGGGAATCATTAGAAATACTTTTGTTTCTTTTATCATAAATATAATTAAAATTTTCAAAAATAATATTTTTTAATAAAATTTTATTTGACTTCATTAATACCATCGCACCATATTCAAATTTTCCTTATTTGAAGAAGAAACATATTGTTCAAAAACTACCGATTCACCTAGGAAAAATTTTTAATTAATACGACGTGTCCTGGGGAACTAGAATCCCCAACTAGTCTTACTGGCTATGCCGACAGTAAATTAAGAATGGTTCTAATTAATATTCGATCAATACGGAATAAGACTGATGAATTGTATTTGTTTTTGGAAGAGTTAGGGTTTCCCCAAATAGTTGCTATTACAGAACACTGGTTACAAGTTGGTGAACCAGTTTTTGTCGAAAAATATACTATCGTCAGCAGATATGATAGAAGTAATACAGACCATGGTGGAACTCTAATTTTATCCTTAGACAAGGACTTTTCTGCTGTATCTAAATACGACTTTCTACAAGCTGAAAATTTCTTCGAATTTTCCATTGTAAACAACAAAAACATTGATTTGTTTATTATTTGTATTTATAGAACACCTAAATCAAATGTTCACCTCTTTCTAGAGAATCTTCTTAATCTACTTGACGCATTGCCTATAAAAAGTAAGAAAATTTTATGCGGCAATTTTAATATTGACTTTGCTAATGTATGTGCTACTCAAAAGTCTTTGATCAATATTTTTGAATCATTCAGTCTCACTATGCACGTAAATTCTCCAACTAGAATCACAGAAACAACATCTACAATTATAGATTACGTAGTCTCTGATTTTAAACCCGTTGATGTAGAGCACCAAGTAATTAGCTCAGGTCTCTCAGACCACGAAGCAGTATTTGCCAAATTTTTGATACCCCGTACAGCTCCAAAAAAAGTCCGTCAGCTACGTAGAATTTTCTCTAAGCATAATTTCAAAAATTTCTATAATTTATGTCTAACTACTGATTGGAATGGTCTTTCTGAAGATATTGACTCTAAATTTTTAGACTTCTTAAATAAAATAATTATGTGTTTCAATACAGCTTTCCCCCTTCGCCCCATTAAAACTAAATGTCATAAATCTTGGACAACTAAAGGAATAAGAACATCATCTAAAAATATGAGGTCACTCATGTATATTAAAAAGTACACAGATAATCCCCTAATATTAAACTATATCAACAACTACAGAATATTGTATCGGAAAATCACCAAATCTGCTAAGAAAAACTATTACAAAAAACGCATCGCAAGAGCTAAAAACTCCTCCAAAGAAACCTGGTCTATAATAAATGACTTAAGGAATAAAACCCGTTCTTCAAACAGTGTAAATCCTAGCCCAGATGAACTAAACAATTATTTCGTAAATGTAAGTAAAAATATCAAATCTAACATAGCTCCGAGTCAGGATGCTCTCTCCTTCCTCCTACCTACTAAAAGGATCACTGAAAGTTTCTTCCTAAGACCAGTAGACAAGCATGAACTAGTGCAAACCATAAACAACATCCAAAATAAATTTTCCTGTGGAATTGATGGCCTGTCCACCAAAATATTTCTAAATATACCGGATGTAGTAATCAACATTTTAACTTCACTGATTAATGAATCCTTTGAAATTGGTCTCTTTCCTAACTGTCTAAAAACAGCTATAATAATCCCACTTCATAAAGGTGGCGACAAAACCAAAACCTGTAACTATAGACCTATCGCGTTATTGCCTACCTTATCGAAGATAGTAGAACGGCTAATGAAAAACCGTCTTTTGCCCTTTCTTTTCAAGCATAACATCCTCACAGCTCATCAGTATGGCTTTCTACCTAAAAAATGCACTAGCGACGCAATGTTTTCCGTTCTTAATGAAATATACACATCACTTAATGATACACTTTTCACCGCTTCAGTATTTTGTGACTTCGCAAAGGCCTTCGATTGTGTAAATCATGATATTTTAATTAATAAGTTACAAATTTATGGCATACGGGGTTCTCCTTTACAATGGTTTAAAACTTACCTAGAAAATAGAAATCAACAGGTGCGGGCGAATGGTGAGGATTCTACAAATCTAGCAATAAGCAGTGGAGTACCTCAAGGATCAGTATTAGGTCCAATTTTGTTTTTATTATTCATCAACGACATCACAGACTTAAGAATAAGTGGTAGAATTACTTTATTTGCTGATGACACCAGTGTAACCTGGAATAATTCTAACATGCAGACATTACAATCTACCATAAGTGAAGATCTAGTGACTATTAAGTCCTGGTCTGATTCGAATGGACTTTGTTTCAACACCAGTAAAACTGTAGCATTGTCTTACAGAGGTACTTTACAACCTATAACTTTAAACAATAATCTGATCCAAACGGTGACTTCAATCAAGTTTTTAGGTCTTTATATAGACGATTCTCTAAAATGGTCTGCTCATATAGATACCTTAGCAAAAAAATTATCCTAAGCATGTTTTGCCATTAAATCGGTTTCTAAAGAGCTGACTCCTTCTACTGCATTAATAACCTACTTTTCCTTATTCGAATCTCACCTTTGCTATGGTTTACCTTTCTGGGGTTCTTGTAGCTTATACCTTTTCGAATCTATTTTTAAACTGCAAAAAAGAGCAATCCGCTATGTATTTGGTTTAAGTAGTAGGACACATTGCGAAAATTACTTCAAAAATTTCAAAATTCTAACCCTTCCTGATCTATTTATTTTCGAAAACGTCTGCTTAGTTCGCAAGCACATTCAAAATTTATCCGAAAGACCGACTCGTAGATATCCTACAAGAAATTTAGAGACTGATGTTTATTTAACAATGCCCACTTCTGACCTATTAAAACATTCCATTACCTACAATGCCAAAAAATTGTATAATAACCTTCCGATGCAATTAAAATCTATAAATACATACGATAAGTTCCGAAGTCTGGCTAAAGCTTTTCTTCTAGAAAGACCATATTACACAGTAGCAGAATTTTATAACGTACCTTAGACATTTGAGTTCCACATACAATGGCATTAATTAAATAATTAAATATTAAAGTTTAAATTTAAATTTAAAAATTAAATTAGAATAATTATAATGACGGATATTGCATATCCATTGCAATTGTTATTCCTATTTTGTCTGTTTGTTTCTGTTTGTTTTTTCTGCTGTTTAGTTATTTTTATAATATGTTTAGTATTTAAGTTACACGCTTTGTCTATAAAATTTTTGTAAATTTTTTTACGACAATAAAGCATATCTCTCTACTCACCATTATTCGACACAGCAGCTTTGACAGTACCAATCACGACATCCTTCCTCACGTTTTCGCTGACAGTATAAGTATACCGGGAATGTTCGAAAATAGGCGGTTTCTGCGCAGAATCGATGACACTAAGAAAAACTTCGGCGTCCTTCAGCGACTTCAGATTTCCTCCGTCGGTAGCGCTGATGTTCAACCGATGATACGGCTGCCCTCTAGCGGAAAGCAAACTAGGTCTGTTGATGAATATTTCCCCGGTGGTTTTATCGATGCGGAAAAGCCCTGCGTCGTTTCCCGTCACGATTTTGTACGCGACTGTACCGAATTTTCCGGAATCGGCGTCCGTCGCTGCTATGACGACCACCGGAGATGATGAGGATATGCCGCTTTCGCGAAGAGACACATTATATTCGGACGGGTAGAAGATGGGGTGGTTGTCGTTGATGTCGATGATTTGGAGTTTGACCATGGCTGTTGTGCTTAGACCACCTGGAATAAATTAACAAATTATTATTAAAAAGGTATTAATAGTAATAATAATAATAAGTATACAACGGCACATAGCATAGTTTATTCTTAATTGTTATCTATAGTAAACATGAAATTAATACCAGCTTCACAAATTTTATAAGGAAACTAAAACGGTACATACAGAAATGTATATAAAGTAAAATTAAACTACAGCTACTTGCACCTATCAAATAGAAGAGTACATTAAGACATCTTCAGACGAGGATAGTAGTTAAAGCAAGTAATTTTTTTAAGTAAGTAAGTAAGTAAATTCTTTATTTAGCTTTCAGCTAGTTATAAACAAATATTTACAATTTAAACTTAAAACTATAGGTTACCTAAACCTAGATAATTACTAATCATATTTTTAAAACTACCTAGAGTTGGAGCATCTTTTATATTTTTAGGCAACGCATTAAAAAGACGAATCCCTTCCTGCAATAATGAGCCCATCAAAAAAGATTTTTTTGTGAAATCAATATTAAAATTGTCCATTGATCTGAGTGGACGTAAATGAAGTTCAGATCTTTTTACAAGTAGTGTACTAAGGTATTTCGGAGTTTTGTGATGTATCATCTTATATATTAGTATTAAATTCGACATTTTAATGCTTTGCTCAACTGTATAGACATTCAGCTGTTCATGCATTTCCCTGACCGAAGTGTAAATATTACAATTTAATATTATCCTTAAACATTTATTTTGTAACAGTTGCAATCTGTTGATGTTTTCTTTAGTAGCTGATAATAGTAATTCATTACAATAATTAAAATGTGGGCGTATTATTGTATTATAAATCAGAGATTTTGACCATTGCGACAAGTTACATGAAATCCTTTTAAAAAAACCAATTTTTTTACCTAATTTTTTACATAAGTAATTGGCATGATTATTAAAAGTTAATTGTTGGTCAATAATGACTCCTAAATATTTTATTTCCAGTACTTGTTCAATTGGTTCACCACCTATTTCTACTACTTGATCATGCGCATTAAGTTGTCTGCATTGTGCTTTTGATCCTAGGATCATATATTTTGTTTTTGCAGTATTTAATTTAAGCTTATTTACACACAGCCAGTCATACAAAATAGACAATTCTTCATTTAATATTTGAATTATTTCCTGAAAATCTCTACCAGATACTGAAATGAGCGTGTCGTCCGCGAAAAGGCTAATAAATGATCTTTTTAATCGTTTATGAATGTCATTTACATAAATAATAAATAAAAGTGGACCCAACACACTTCCTTGCGGTATCCCGTAGTGGCTTTCTGTTTCACTAGATATATTATTTCCTATTTTAGTCTTATGATACCTATTAGACAAATACTCCCTAATTAAATTTAATGCTACCGAATTTACACCGTAATTTTGCAACTTTTTTAATAAAAAATTTCTATTTATTGTTTCAAAAGCCCTTTTAAGGTCAATAAAAACACTAACAATAAAATTATTTTCATTCATATCACTTCTCCCTTTCGCACAAACAAATTGGAGAGCTGTTTCACAAGAATGTTGGTCTCTAAACCCTGACTGTCCCTCATACAAAATATTATTGTCTTCAAAATAAGACTTGAGCTGATCTCTTACTACAATTTCAATGATCTTATCTGCAGATGGTAATAAATTTATAGGCCTACAATCTTCTGGTCTTGTTGGACATGATATTTTGGCTATTGGCACAATTACACTAACTTTTAAATCACTGGGAAACGTACCCTTTACAAGGACCGTATTTACCAGATTAAGAAGAGGGTACCCGATAACACAAAATAACCCCTTCAATAGTGCAATACTTAAACATGCGTCACCTGAACTTTTATTTTTAAGATTGTTCACTATTTTTGTTAATTGATTAAAACTTATTTTTTTAAAAGCACCAAACTCACTGTTGATATTGACGTCCTCCATGGGTGAAATCCTCTTATCTTCAATGCTGTTTGCGATTTCCTGGATACTGTTTTTGTAAAAATTATTAAAGTTCTCTTCCACAGTACTATTATGTTCACTAAAAATAATTTTTTCAACATCTAACTTTTTTTTATTTTGACCTAGCAATTGTTTTACATTTCTTTTCCATCATTTTTAGATTTATCTATTTTGTCCTCAAAATATGTCTTCTTCTCTTGTCTGACTATGGTCGTTACCTTATTTCTTTTAGTTTTATATAATTTCCAATCTTCTTCAATTTTTGTTATGGTAAATTTCCTATATGCTTCATCACGAACTTTTTGTGCTTGTTTTATTTTATTATTTACCCATGGTTTACTGTTACTCACCATTATTTCTAATGGGGCAATTTTTTCTATAGACTTTGTGGTATTATTGATAAAGTTCCTGTATAAAACAACAGTATCTGTTGAGGTCGTATCCCATGATGCTTCTATTAGATCATCTGTAATTTTCTTGATTTTTTCCTTATTTATTTTACGTACACAAGTCATTTCCTTTTTCCGATCTATACACCATCCCTTTAATTCTACACCTATCATTTCATGATCTGACATTACTGGAAATTCTCGTGGAAGTTCAATTAGCGAGAAATTATTTGTTATTATCCAATCAATCAAGGAAGACGAAGTTTTTGATATTCTTGTTGGTTTTTTGACAATTTGTTTAAATCCCGAATCCTGTATAGTATTTTTGAACTTGTTGACTATACCCACATCAGATCTAAACTCCATGTTGAAGTCTCCAAATATAATCGTATCATTATTATTTACAAGATCTCTCTGTAGTAGTCATCAAAAAACAGCCAAAAATCATTACAATTGCCGTGTGGGGATCGATAAACAGTTCCAATTATAGCTGACTTATTACCTTGTTGTATTTTAAGTAATAGTACCCAATAGTTTAAAGAGTCCGACACTTTTTGTATAACTGAATAGTTTACGTTTTCCCTTAAATAAATTATACAACCTCCAGTATGTCTGCTATCTGAATTCACTCCTATACAGTGGTACCCTGTAATTTGAATCTCGCTGTCCTCTATATCTGCAGTAATATGTGTTTCTGTTACGTTTACTAATAAAGGTTTATTTTCAGTTAGATATTCTCGAAGTTCATCAATATGTGACGTTAATCCCTCAATGTTAATACATATTGCTTTGTATTTGGTATCTTCTTTTAGTTTCTGGGATGGCTATATATATTTTGTAATGTTACCAACAATCTTTGGAACTGCTCAAAGAGATGTATATATTAGAAATGACAGAAAAAATAGCAAATATATACGCCCATATCTGTGCTACTCTTGAAGTTAACTCAACTTAATGAGACACTCAATGTGGATTCTGCGCTGTTTTTTCCATTTCCTTCATTAATGCTTCTATTCCTATTTTATTGTGTCTACAATTATTTTTTTAATTGGTTTGTTAATAAGTCAATTTTCAAGCCATACTTTAAAACATTTATGTAGGTATTACAGCCAATTAAATAATTACTATTGAGCAATCATACCTACAAGAAATCATTAATAAAAAACAGCGCCCTCTCAATAAGTAATCATTATTCATTATCATTTCTTCTACGCCAATGACCAGCGAACCACTGCCTCGTTCCCAGTTCTGTTATGTTATGACAACCATCGGTCAACCAATAAATCATAATCGAGCCATGATAGCCAGTCAGTTCTAGATCACCTTGTATACGAAAATAAAACAGTTGCCGGCTTCGGAAAGCAAAGTTGCACGTTATCGTGGCCTGCATCGATATTGTGTGAGAAATGACATCGTGATCTTCTGTTGTTTTGTTTTCTTTACACTTCATAAATAAACAGTTGATGGTGCGGTATGGTATGGTCATGGTACGGCTCTAGCATGCCAATACCTTCAACTGTATGTTTGAGGTGATATATTGCTAACGCGTACCTTTAGGCTAAATGTGCTCAGGTTCTATCTTAATAAGTAAACCAATCTTTGGTTATATTGATGCTAGGGACTTCTAGAGTGGTTATCTTGGAGAAAATTGGGTATTTGTTATTCAAAAAGACGACTAAAATAGTTAAGAAAACTACAGAGCGATCTAGTTACCCACAGTTAGAACTAAAAAGTGTACACAATTTGTGGGTTTATTGATAAATATATTAAAAGCAACACAGTGTTTATCAAAAACGATTTTAACCAATTTATTGGCACTGGCATATTCCACCATAAGCCCTGTCACCATGTAACTTCATCTACTAGCATTTAACCATCGACATCGTGGAATGAATGACGGTGAATGATGGAGTGAATTGGTGAGTGGGAAAGTAGTAGGACTTTCAAATGGTGGTACGATAACCCGACATGTTTTTTCTAATTAGTCTTACAACTGTTTGACTGGTCCTGCCTTGTTAGACACAATAATGAAATTCAATACTTATGGAAGCATTTATATTACATGGTTTCTCTTTTAATTTAAGAAAACATATTTCTAAGAAGCATTTTTGTCAATGTTCGATTCATATCCCACATAACATCAATGTTCTATGAATATACCAAGAACGTTCTTTTTAGTATATCCTTTTAGAATATTCTTAGAACATACCTAGAATATACTGTGAAAGTATATTCAAGAAAGTATATACTGAGTACGTGCCTTAAAAGTATATTCCAAAAAGTATATACTGAGCACGTGCTATAACAGGACATTCTTAGAAGATACCAAAAGTCATATACCCAGCATGTACCTCATATTCTGAGAAAATTATAAATGTTTGCAGGTAAAAATTAACACCAAATACATGTAAAAACAAGTTTATATACATATCTATATGAATTTTTCCCAGATGCCGATCTAATAATTCGCTACCAAACGCACTAATGTTGAAGGTTTAGGCCAAAAAACATTCTCAAACTAAAATAGAAGAAAAGAAGAAGAATAACATAACCTACAATTCCTACAAATTTTCTCGTGTGTTTGTATTAGTTTGTAAGAGGTAAGGTAATTAATAAAAATTAATTGCATCGTATGTTCTATATGAAAATAAACAAATTTTACTATATTTATAGTTTTTTGGACCTATAACTGACGTTAGAATACAGGATATCCCAAATATTAATTGCCAGTGTGAATTTATTAATATAGTTAATACTAATGGTGGAATAAAACTAAAATACAGTGTTACCAGAATTACATACACACTTTCTATGAAAAAAAACCTGCAAGGCCAGATATTGACCTGGAAGAACTAGAAAAGTTAGCTAAAGGAGGACGAAAACTACAAAATGGTGGTAAGTAATTAACAAAAATATATTTAAACTTTCAGTAAACATCTTAATCATTTATGTAACTCTTGTTTTTGTTAGTGGAATGCCATGTACAATTTTTAATGTTTTATGTTCGACAAAAATATTTAAAATATTCCATTAGCTATGTACACTTAATTTGTATATGTATATGTACCAAGTTAATTTTTTTTATTTTTTAGGTTCAATGAAGATCCAATGGAATCAAGCAAATGAAACTCAAGCCATTGATACAATAAAATATTGATTGGTTAAGGCCAAAGATAGTATTTGTAATAAAAATAAGTATGAATTCTTTGAAATAAAGACTCATTATATACACTTATTCTTTAATGTTCAATATTAATTAAACATCCTGTATTAAGGTGTCTAGTATATGCCTAGCATATGCTATATTTAAATACTTAGCATATACTTAGAACGTACTATCAAATTAAAGTAGATACCTGTTGCATACTGTACACATACTTGAAGTACATTCTCAGTATCTGCATAGCACGTATAAACAACGTCACGTAGTATATGCTTAGCATATTCTGAGAATGTACCAAATGCAAATACAGTATATTCTCAGCATATGCGTATTCTTAAAAAGTATATACTAAGAATATATAATTGTTATCTGGGACATTCTAAAAAGATCAATGTTGTGGGTTGTGGCCAGCAGTAGAAACAGTAAAGGATTTTATCCCCCTGCTCTACGTTTTTATCTGGAATTAGAACGATGTATAACTCTTCTATCGGGGAATTAGCAAGTCTGAGGATGAGGTGATTATTAATCTCACTCATCATCCCCGTCATGTTTCATTGCAATTCTTCATTGGGCATGTGGAAATGGGTTAGATCCAGCATAGTCATAGGTTAGTCAGTAATGACTAGTAACAATAATCTAACAAAAAAAAAAATTTAACTTGATATTTAAACAAAGATGAATGGATTTGTTGCTTTTTTATTCTTTAAGAGTGACCAAAAATATTTTCGTGGTCTATTTATAACCATAATCATTTTTTACAAATAGCTTTAATAACTTTTTGTTTTCTGTAAATCCAGTACTAATCCGGTAGTTCCGAAACAGTTACAATAAATAAATTACGAAATTCTAGTTTTAATTTTATTAAAGATTCGTGTTAAAAGCTAATAAATAAATTAGTTATGTGGAAGATCATTTCGATTCATTTATGTTAATGTTTCTATTTGAGCTGCGGAAAAAGGACGGGACAATTTATGGGCGGCACAAAACCGATAATCTACGGTATTTTATAATGAGCATAAATCAAAATCATTGTGCCGATTTCACTGCCGATGTAAAGATCCGAGGTGTAGAGTTCAAATACTCGTATTCTCATTTATCAATTGAGTTCGGATAAATCTACTGTTCGAAATTCGTACTTTTAGTTTGCTAGTTTTAATCAAATTATTCAATTATTTAAAAAGAGAGTTTCAATTAATTAAGTCTTTTGAGTTACTATGAATGTAATTATATTCTACACCGACCATTAAAATTGTTTTAATTTAGCTTACAAGGGACTAGTCTAGATGGCACCTGTGTCATTTTTAGGGTTTTGTTGTTTACTAATCCTGTTATTGCATTATTCAAGTTAAATCTATACAATAAAAATTCAAATAAAACCAAAATGATCTTTAAGACAGCCCCAAGACCATCATAAAGCAGTTTCTAGTCAAAAAGGGTCCACTCTAAAAGTGCCTTCAAGACTAAATTTTAAAACTATAGTAAAACTATTTTGTTTTAATTTTATATTCTAAAAAGAGTTCTTTAAGGCAAATGTATTTATTAATTGACGTTTCCAATTTAAAGTATATTTGTGGCAGACTTGAGAATCATTATAATTAATCCTAAAAGAGTTTTATTTTGTTTACTAAAACCGGAAAACTTTTTTAAGTCTATATAATAGCAGAATGGTAATATTTTAAACGTCACACATATTATAGATAATAAAATAATATTCAAATGCAAATTGTACTGGTAACGAAATTATATTAGATACAAAATATAATAAAATATTTCTACATAACTAAAGCGCCATCAATTTAATGTGTTTTTCTATTATTTAAAAAATATTGTTAAATTTTATTTTGCATTTAAACATCTAAATGTATTTTTTTATTAAATTGCATGTTTGGACACGTTCTTGTTATTTAAGAGGATCTAAGACGCATATATTTCAATATTTTTTTCTGTGACTATTGTAAAGGTCCATCATGGTGGAGTCTGCATTTCATATAAAACATGGCATGATCTAAGTTAAAACTGATTTAAATAACATTTTAAATTTTACAAGAATTAAAACAGCATTTTATTTATCACTTCAAGTACAAATACTTTCTACATTTCATTTTATAATCAAGTTACTTTAATATGTTCAAACTCGTGGCCTTAATGATTTAAAGTGGCATTGCACACGAATGAAATCCTAACCTCACAAAATTTGCCGGGTTTTTTGATCGCCAAAGGACCCCGCAATAATCTTATGGACATTGGGTTTCTGTCAAATTATCTGAATTTTTGATATGTTGTAGATTTTGTTATCTTAAACAAATGTCTCCATGGGCACAAAGTGCCAAAATGAATATTTTAGCAGCTGCGGAGCTGCCAAAGATCCCTTGACCCGTTGCAAAACTATTCATTTTCAATACTATTTACAGATGTCAAAAGCATATTTTAATTATTCTAATATATAGGGTAATGTTTTGAGGTCACTGGATTCAACCCTCATGTCAGATTGGACAAATTGACCGTTGACAGCTGTCAATTCACTGTCAACGAGGAATATAAAAGTAAATATCCTCTTCTCCCATTGAGAGTTTGGGTTTTTGAGGTCGCTGAATTCAATTCTCATGTCAGATTGGACAAATTGACAGTTGATAGCTGTTAATTCACTATCAACGAAGAATAGAGAAGTAAATATTCTCTATTGACATTGAGAGTTTGGGTTCTTGAGGTCGCTGAATTCAATTCTCATGCCAGATTGGAAAAATTGACAGTTGAAAGCTGTCAATTTACTGTCAAAGTAGAATAAAGAAGAAAATATCCTCTTTTCACATTGAGAGTTTGGGTTGTTGAGGTCGCTGAATTCAATTCTCATGTCAGATTGGACAAATTGACCGTTGATAGCTGTCAATTCACTGCAAACGACAGCTGTCAACTGTCAATTTTGCCAATATGGCATGAGAATTAAATTCAGCGACTTCAAAAACCCAAACTCTCAATGTCAACAGAGAATATTTACTTCTCTATTCTTCGTTGACAGTGAATTGACAGCTGACAGCTGTAAACTGTCAATTTTTCCAATCTGAGATTAGAATTAAATTCAGTTCCCTCAAACTCTCAATGTCAACAGAGAATATTTACTTTTCTATTCTTCGTTGATAGCTGTCAACGGTCAGTTTGTCCAATCTGACATGAGGGTTGAATCTAGTGACCTCAAAAACATTACCCTATATATTAGAATAATTAAAATATGATTTTGACATCTGTAAATAGTATTGAAAATAAATAGTTTTGAAACGGGTCAAGGGAGCTTTGGCAGCTCCGCAGCTGCCAAAATATTCATTTTGGCACTTTGTGCCCCTGGAGACTTTTGTTCAGGATGACAAAATCTACAACATATCAAAAATTCAGATAATTTGACAGAAACCCAATTTCCATAAGATTATTGCGGGGTCCTTTAGTGCATTTTCATCTTCATGTGCCTAATTTAATTACAAAAAAATAGGTAAGTTTAGAATATTACTATTATATTTTGTAACATTAATCTCATTTATAACAAATGTACACACTCGAGCACCCCTTATTGGGAAGATTACGTTTTCTTTGAATGTGGTGGTGGCAGAATTCGTTTTAATAAAGTCAAAAATCCAAAAGGTATTTCTTACAACCAAATTGCCTAAATTAAAACCTTTAAGCTTTAAAATATTCTTAATGTACTCTTTAAAATGTAAAAATTATATTTTGGATTTAACGCGGAGTTTTGTTAACTCAAAAACCAGTATAAGATTAAATAGGATATTAAGAGCAAATAGTTTTTATTTTAATTTAAAGTGTGCGTTAAATTCTTTATATAATTATAAGCTAAAGAACTTTTACTTTATCTTGAGGTAACTTTTAACCACCAATATCGTTTTACTGAACATATTAAAACACTTTTAAAACTAAATAAATTTAAAATGTCTTCAAATTGTTATTTGGGATATTAATTAATAAGATGTAAATTTTTAGTTGTGTTATTTTGAAGCAAGGGTGCAAATAAGTATCGTTGCCTAAAAATTAGAGACAGTTTGTTGATGTGTATGTGTAGAAGATTGGATGTTGGAAAGAAAGTTCTTAATTTTAGTAAAGCGTAGTTGAGAGAGAAACTAAAAGATGTCCCACACTTCTGATAAGTTTTAAATCTTGGTTACTTATTTATTTAATTCTATAAACAGGCCATATATTTAATTACTTTACTTTAATTACTCTATTATAAGAATACACTTTAATATTTATAGGGATGATGATTCTATTATTATAAACAGTGTTTTACTAGGTTATACTGAGTATTTTCAATTATGGAGCTACTTCTATACGCAATACACGCTTTGTACCTTTTAAATTAAAAATAGTACAAATAACTGCATTTTCAAATTCATTAACTTCAATAAATCGTTAGATTACGCAAAGATAATCTTTTGATGATGATAAAACTTGTAAAAGTAAATAAACGTACCTCTATCGGTAGCTATAACTGGAAATTCGTACAAATTCCTGCTCTCGTAATCCAGGGTCGAACTTATGCAAATTTCTCCGGTATCAGATCGAACGCTGAATTCTTTCAGTTTTGTATTTCCATCTCCTAAAGTGTAGTTTACCATGGCGTTCACACCGCAATCAGGATCTGTGGCTGAGACCTGCAAACAAAAAAAAAAACAATTTTAGAAAAATATTATGAGACAAATATTATAAGATGGTTAACTTCAGTGTTACCCTTTTGTAAGCAACAATTAAAATTGAAATTTGGGTTCTCTTGCTTTCTCTGAAAAACCCAAACACGGATTAACTTAACATTTTGCAGAAATAATGTACTGCCGATACAAAATTACTTTCTTCCAGTTGCTCCTTCATCGTTTCTCTTCATTTTCATCTTATCCTTTTTAATAATTAATCTATATTACTGCTCTATTTTCTTAAGGACAGCGTCTCCTAGGAATTTCTGAACAAAATTATGTCAATTTAGATTCAATCAAGGAGGTGCTGTTACCTACCGACTAGAGATTGAATTAGTGCAAATTATTACAGAAATCTTTAAGTAACTATAAATATCAACCGACTAGCTATTAGGGGATATTGTATTATATTGTATTATAAACCGGTTTTTAGTAGACTGAGTTCGAAGGATCATAATAATAGTCCTGAACATAAAATCTATTTTTCAATAATTGCCGGGATTTTACCAAATAAAAAAAATTATTTCGTGATTGTGAAAACGGTCCAATCGTTTTATATGCCATTTATAATATTATAAAAATGTTAACTCTAGGACTCATTTTGGAGTATGAGCATACTTTATTTCAATACTTTTATTGTACTGTTTCATAAAGTATTACCTACCTATTACATTTTATTTTTATCGAAAATTGACTTTGTTTCCTGGACCAAAGTAAAGAATGTAGATGCAGATGGTAACAACAAAAACGAAATCTTGCCTCACATTAAATATAAATATTTCCTAAAACAAATAATTAGGTTTATATACGGGTAGTAATACGAGGGATGTGTATAATTTCAAGTCACGAATATAGAGTCATTTCAAAATATATTGCCACAATAATTGCGTCACATTGAGTCGGAGTGGAACGCTTGACGTGTCGCAATTCGCAATATATTTTAAAACTATTCTACTTAATTAATAAATTGTGATTTTGAAGTATCGAATGAAAACTATATTCTAATTGGTTAAAGATGGAAGTATTTGTCATTTGAATGTTCAAGAATATTAATTGTGATTAATTGGCTAAATACCGAAGTTATCTGTTATCTGATGTTGGTACTAACCTAATGTTTTTGGGTAATTTTGACTGTCATTTCCTGGAATTTCCAGGTCCGCATAAATATTTATCCTATTAAAGTACAAAAACCCTACAATAGATATTATGAGTAGGTATTTAACATTCATTTATATTATCTTATCTTAGGTAGTTATTTCCTAGAAACATGTCCCTGATTGTCAATAACACATTACCATATATCTGTGCCAATATGACGTCACGACTTTTATTATACTTAATGAAGGCTGGGGGAAGGAGTTAAGAGTCTATAAATTTACAAACAAGCTTACGGGTATTTAGTTTTCAAAATTACATCACACGTTTCTGAAGTGTTTTATTGTGCTGTTTGTTTTTAATAAGTGTTATTTTCTTTAATAGAAAATTGATTTATTTGTGCCAAGTGTCCTAGTGAGTTTCATTGTACATTTTAATCAGTTTTATTTTTGGATAAATTGACAACGACTTCCTGCATTAAAGGTAGGTAGTATTTTTTTTCTATCACTCTCGAGTTCGTCATTGAATAAAAAAATTAAACGCTATAATTTTAACATTCAAATATTTGCAAATAAAAAATAATATTACGTATTAAATTTGACAATAAAAAAACTTGTTATTTAATAATAATGTTTCATTATTCTGAATATATTTTTTCTACGATCAATATCCAAAGTAGGTAGGCTTTTGCACATTAAAATCTAAATAAAAAGTTGACGTTTTCTGCGAATTGTCATAATTTGACATTATTGGCGCACATTACCTAATATTCAAACCCATTTCCATGCTTAAAAATAGAAGATGGTGACATTCATTTAAAAGAAAACCATAACTACTTTTACCAGGTGAAAAATTTCAATATGTTAAAATAATTCATGATTTTTAAGAAATGTGCTAGAAATGATACTACAATATTATTATTCTTTTTATGTTTGATTTTCTAATAATGATTTTATATACTTTTAGATTCAAGGACAGCTAGGTATAGCTCAAAGAAAATTGTGCTACTTTGTAGTATATACTGGAGATGAAAATCCAATATTTGTTGAAAAAATTCATATTCAACCCATTTTTTTTTTAAAATATGGTTGAAAAATTAGAAAAATTTTACTCGGAATATATGGCACCTGAGATAATTTTAAATAGAAGAGGACGAGGATTAAAATGTCTGGATAACCCATATAATGAAACTTAAAGTGCAAAGATTAGCAAATTTATAAAAATAATAATTTAATGGACTTTAATGATACAAGTACTTGAAATAATGTTTTTTTTTTGCGCAGAAGCATGTTCATACGTAATTTGCAATTGGTAATCACTAATCACAGATGGAAAAGTATATACGTCAACGATATGTTCTCTTATTTTTGATTTATTTTAACAGGTATAATATATGGTATGTTACTTATAGTATAGATTTTTTTATTTCTCGACCTAATTTATTTGTTACGTCTTCAGCAATTGTCGCTTTCAGTTGACATAAACGAAATTGATAAAAAATATTTTTCGCATTTTATTTTGACTGTTTCTCTTACTTTCGAATAGAAACTGAGCTTTGTAAACATAAAATGACGGATATGTCAAACTAAAACTGACGGTAAAATGAAACATTGAGTATCGTTAAATGCAACTTTTGAACTAGTTTCAAAAATAGCATTAAAATGATATTATCATTCACAATGTACTAATTTCCTATACTTTTAGTTGATAAATAACCGATAATCATACATCATATAACAAATAGGCGCGTGTCAAAAGGTCACCGGCGAAAAAAGAGTGCCGATGAAAAAAGGTCGTTTCCAATTGTATCATATAAACAGTATCAGAGGCAGTATTATCATCTCGTATATCCCCCGTAAACACACATAATATAAACGGAAATAATCAAATACTAGTCAAAATATTATCGATCGGAGCACCATCTTTATTACATTACATGAAGTAATTATTGAATTTTCGGGGTTGATTTAGAGTTAAATTAGACGCCATTTTTGGTCCAAATTCGTTTTGACATGTTTTTTCAAAGAAAGTGACTTATAAATTTCAAATCTACACGTTTTGAAAAATATACAATATTTAAATATTCTGAGTGTACCAAATTCCAAGTAAAGGTTGAACTTAGGTCGTATTACATTTTTTTTTATTATTATTTGTTTGACATCGAGGTTAAAATAATTCTACACGGCACCTTTGAGATGAAATAAAACGGGGTTATTTTACAGGATTGGTTTTTATTGAAAATAATAAATTTATTAATTTTCAATAGTAAGGTGACCTAAGTTAGACCTTTATTTTTAATTTGGCCAAAAATTAGATTTTTAAACACTACATATTCGGAAAACTGTCGATTTAACTTTTGGTCTACACATACACTTTCAGTACAGGGATACCCCGTCCTTAAGCTAACCTATAACGTTTTTTTCTAGTCCTTTCATTCTTTTATTATATGCTTGGGGGAGGGATGGGGGAATATACATATAACACTGTAAGCTCAGTGAGGTTTATCTTAATTTATCTTAAAACCCATTTTTTTACTATTTATATCTTTGCAGAAAAATACCATGACATTCTTGAAACTTTTTAAACGAACCAAAAAAAGTAAACCATTAGAAAAAATATCACCGTGATCGCTGGTTGCTTATTGCCGTTTTAATAGAAGAAATTATAAACCCGACAAGGCAAGTGCTTCTCGAGCGCTCAACTACAAGGGTTTTTGTTCAGCAAAAACCCGTCAAGAGAAACCATTTTGCCGGTGTGGTCTACTCCCTGATTTATTACAAAATAGTACATATAACCACTATTACTCAATAATTAACTAGAATATATATTTATACAGTCGGAGCAACATTGTTTTTTCCGCATGACCGCATCTCTTATGATGTATACTAACTGACGTGCATTAGAAGCGCAATTTTGATGCTAATAAAGCAATAACATTATTTGGTTTATTGATATTCTATAGATGCGGTTCTTAATCCAAATGGGAATGATGTAGAGCTGATAGTTTTTTTGGTTGTAATTAAAAGTTTACTTAATTAACAAGTAAGTAGTTTTATTTCGAAAAAGAATGCCAGACCTTATTAGTTGATAATCAAATGAATAAATCGTATCAATTTATAAACCAGTTTACTTATCCTGGTTCTTTTTTCTAATAAACTGAGTCGCCATAGAAATGAATATTCTCTATTGGACCCCCTTCTGCAATAAGGAACCAACTGACGTTTTATTTAAAAATACAGGGATGGGTCGAAATGTTTCTAGAAAGCAACAAAAGATGGCGCTGTGCATGCTTAATAAAATTAATGTTATATTGTATCCTCCTGGACAAAGTAAAATAAATTTTGGTGCTCCCTGGAAAGAAAACATTTTATGAAAATATAAACTACTTCAAAGAGTTTTTTGTAACTTCTGCTAATTTAATTGTGGTAAAATTTAGAACAAGGAAGACTATTGAACGAAGAGCAAAAGAAACAATACGATACAGTCCACAATAATTTACTAGAACATAGTCAATACAAGAAACAAGCAACAGTTATTAGAATTTCATGATCGCCTTCTACAAAGTGTTAAGGGAATACAGCGACTAGAGCTTTCCGCTACACAGTCAGCAACACCTCCCATTGTTTTCCATACCATTTACCATTTGCTGATAATGGATTCGCACCGGTGTTAGTAATATCGCAAATATTATGGTAAGTCCTGTCGCATCTGCATACAAAACCTTTCGAAAATGTACACATTCAAAGAAGAAAGGCATGGATTTGCATGTACCAAAATTGTATTTAAATTTCGTACAGATTTGAAAATAAAAAGAGCGGAGACATTTGCAAACGGAACGGGACTTCACGGTGGTCGAATTTATTTCTTTA